GGAAAATGTGACAGGAGGTTAGGAGAAGTTGAGGAGATGGGAGTTAGGATGGGGTGGCGACCAGGGGTTGTACCAAGGAGAGGAAATTCGGAGGGAGGGGGCGTATTTTGAGAAGGGACGTGCCCTGTGTATAGCTGGGAGCGCCTGACACTAAAGGGACGTACATATCCTGTGCAGGATGGTACGTATCCTATGTATAATTATGAACCACTGACCCTGAAGGGAGCATTGACATCGGGACGTACCCTGTGTATAACTGCTTCTACTCCGATATCAGGTTAACAGATGAGGATGAGGCATCACCCAATTCTCTATGGACATGCCTAGAACAAAAGGAAGCCCGCAGAGTGCCCAAGAACTAGTCCAGTTCACTGAGTATGCAGTGCATACATCAAGCTGGACTAAGGCTTTTGGCCTAAAGCTAGTCTTACCACGAAGGGATTAAGAGCTAACAGCAGGAATTTGAAACCACTGCACGCCCTCCACCTTCCGTTTCTCACCCCAATTAGGTGATCCATCCACTGTGAAATTCTAATCATAGGTTGGTCTCCGTCCAAAAGCTAAAAGAAGTAAACGAGCATGAGGTCTTACTGAGAAGTAAGTTGTTTGGAGTGTTGCCTCCTTCACATCACTATAACATGAAGCCAACATATCGTTCACTATAATCCGTCCATTAGGTGTGAGCGGTGAGAAGACGCCTTTTCGTGACGTAATCGAAATATCCTGGAGTTTTTGTTGACGAAAACCGTTCTGAAATTTAACTTATATAAGTTTAACGAGTTAAATTTGTCTATGATCTTTCCCAGCATCCCATTAACAAAATGTTTTGAATTAAGTCCGCGCCGATTCTATAAGTTGTGCAGAAGAGCAGGAATAAGTCAACTTACATACGACAAGCAATTGGTCATTTTTTTCAGCGTTGAAAAAACCCCTAGCTTTCTCAAGATAATCCTGACTTTGCATGAGTAGCTAAAAAAGTTTGAAGGTAAAAGCTCTTGACGTTTTGCAATACTTTCTGGGTGCTGCTTGCGTTCTACATACTTCAACTCAGAATTGTACTGGCTCGCGAATGTCATTTCCCTTCACGAGTCAGTACAATGCTGAGCTGTACTGTGGCCTGCGGAGCTCAGAGACTCATAAACTGCAGTTCTTGCCTTCTCGGACCAGCCGAGTACCAACTTATTTGGTCTGGAGTGACCAAAGGCTTGGTTGACTCTGATGGGGAACAATCACAGACAGGGTACAGCATCGTGATGTGTGGAATGGTGGTGTCAGTAAGACTCCTCGAACGAGGGT